ATATACAAAAGCCCTTAATGCTGTTTTCAATCCAATCCTTTCTGTGCTACATCTAACACAATTTCCCCCAACACTTTTAACATGACAATAGCATTACTTCATTGGTCATTTGAGTGGTAAAACTGGTGCAGAAAGGGAGGGAAGTGAGTACCTAAGGGTGCACATTACATTTTTCAAAAAGCAATATTTAAAAATAATTTAATCTGCCATTTGTGGCATATATGTATTTGTATCAATCAGTGGGGACCTTGGAAATCAGTGGTCTATTGGGAAGAGTTTAAGATTAGCACAGTAGGTAATATGCATGACAGTTGTGGCTTGACCACTGACCGCCTGTGCACTTTGTTACACACTCATAGCCCCTTACTCTTCCATTCCTTTATCTTCTAGAACAAAAATTTTATAATGACATATTTTGGAAATGCGTAATTTAAAGAATCCTATATTTAAGGATGGAAATACCACAGATTCAATTATGTTTCTTGAAACTACACATAATAAAAGGCTAAAAGGCTGACAGAAGATGTTTAACCTACAATATGACATCTACGCTCATCTCAAGAACTTTTGGAGCACTTGTAACTCCAGATTACTTTGCCCTAGAATCTTCTCACTTTAATGACTCACATATTAAAAATATATAACATATTTTTTTTTAACTTGATGCTTATTTTTTATATTTTTCTGACATGAACCTCTAAACATCTTCCGTGGCACTGCCGACCTTGCCACACTGACTGGCATTTGGCTTTCCCAGGAAAGCTCCTGACTGCTTTCCTGGCTCTGAATCCCTAACAGCCCATAACAAACACCACTGTCCTGGGTGCTGACACAGAACAGTAGTTACCTTCAGCTTCCACAAAGGTCACTGATGCAGAGTATCCTAAGACCTAAGCACTGGCATTCAGTCTGTGTTTCTCAAACAGTTTTCTTTCTGCAGAGAAGACTCCCAAGTTACAACAGCTTTTGACCCTGCCTTTCAAATTCATCTCTAGTCTATGTGTTTTGCCCTGTGCCTGGCAAACTTCAATCTCCTCAGGTTTATTTCTCCATATTTCCTGGAGAGTATGATTCTGGCTCTGAAGAAAAGATCACTGACAAGGAAAAGATAGTTCAGATGCATGTAGTTGCTCATAGGCTGTCATCCTTCCTTAGCCCAGCTGACCGCTTGGAAGAAATACCACAAATAGTTTTGAAAGGAGGATCTGAAGAGGGTACTAAATTATGAAGTGTTGCAAACATTAGAGAGGGAAAGCAGGAAAGGCTACTGGTACTATGGAAATAGCGGGGAAAAAAAGAAAATAGAAAAAATTCTAAATCATTTTCTTCACAGAATTGAAAAATGAGATTTAGCTATAGGAAATATAAATATATGAATTTTAGAACAATAACACAGAACTGCTGGGCCAAGAGGGGGTGAGGAAAATGGCTATAAAGCATCAGCACTAAAAAACAAATGTGCTCATAAAAAAGCTTTCAATGGAATAGACAGAAAACAAGTTATTTTGGCTAATTATTCAGTAGGGACAGTGGTTTTTGTTTTACAGATGGGAAAATGAAACCTTTAGAGGAAAAGTGACTTGAGTATTATCATAAAGAAACAGGACCCCACTGTTCTCATTCTCAACTCCCTTTGCACCAAAATCCAAATGACATTCCATCTTTAATGTTCTATTGTTCTCTAAACTCAACCCTCTAGGATGTGGAAACTTTGATGCTTTTGGAAATTGCTTCTATATTTGTCTAATGCCAACTTCTGTGTTAGGAGAAGTTTGAAGTTCAACCCAAAAACACAGGGCCTGGCATGGTCAAAATCTCATTACAACTTCTCATTAGTTGTGTCTCTTGGGGCAACTATGGCATTCCTGAGTGTGACTCAGTATCACCAGTCATAACTGAGGGTTCCTGATAATATGAACTGAGCCAGAGTCCACAGTAAGGCCACGATAAGATCCAAGCAAATGAAGCAACACATCTTGTAAGGAGGATGTAAAAAATTACATGAAAATTTCTGGAAATGTCATCTTATACCATATTATACCATAATAATACCTAACACATATTCAGCATGTATTATGTATCAGGCACTGGATTTGTACTTGACATTCATTAATTCATTTATTTCTCTTAAGAATCTTATGAGATAGGTACTATTTTATTATTATTCCTTTTTAAAAATAGGAAACTGAGTCACAGAGATGTTGAATAACTTGCAGTGCCACCTAGGAACAAGAATTACTTTAGAATAATTAGAATATATCAACTGATACTCAGGATCCCAATTTCAAGAGTCATGAGAAGTTTCTCTAGATTAAAAATAACCTTGTCAATCCAAATAAAGTATGGGGTTTAGTTCACAGTAATGTACCAAGGACAGTTTCTTGGTATGATACATTCTGTAAATTTATCATGGCAATATAAGATGTTAACAATGTAAAAAACTGGGTGAGTGGTACTTGGGAACTCCCTGTACTATCCTTATAATTTTTCTATAAATCTAAAATTAATATAAAATCTGGTTTACTTTTAAGAAAAAATGGATACTGGATACTTCATAGAGGGAGCTTTCCATTGAGTCCATTCAGATGAAAAGCCATGCTGTTATTTTTCCTAAAAGTCATAAAAAATATTTGAAAACAGTGGAGCCTTCACAACACTATACATTTTACATGTAAGTGAGAGAATGCTAAGGTCTTCATTAGTACTAACTTAGCTTCAGAGACTTGTGCTAGAGTTTTAAAGGCAAATTGGAAACTATTTCCTGGAACAACGCCTCACAGCATGCCTTTTGATATTTGGATTATATTACTTAAATTCTGAAGAAATCTTTGCTTTTTCCCCCTTCTGTGCATTTTTGATGCTGAGCTGTTTCCGGTTTTCCCACACTCCTGCCTGTCACAGAGAAGAAACCACAAAAATGCAGTAAAGCAAAGGCTGTCCAAAGAGCTGCAATTCCATCTCAGGAGGCTGAGTTCTCCTGCCAGCTGTTGAGTTCAGGGCAGCAGGCAGCATCTTCAATCATCCAGCCCTGCTGCCTAAGCCCATCTCTCCACCAGCTGACCAGCCACCATACAGGCCACCCTGGGCCATCTCAGGGTATTGGCAATGACCAGAGAATCCACAAATGAGGAGCACACTGGCAAATTCAGCACTCACATCCGACTCACTAATTTTCCTAGTTAACTGTGGGCTTTTCAAACCTGTGAAGGACAGTGTGGTTTTAGAATGCATGAGGGTGACTAAGGCTTACAGAGTTTTTATGTGTACCAGGCTTTGCTCTATGTACTGTATTAACTTTGCTAATATTTATCAACTGACCTAGGAAGTAGATACTCTTAATCAAATAACTTGTAACTTGCTGAAGGTATCAAATTAATGAAGAGTGGCATGGAATGAGAATCTAGGCAGTCTGGCTACAAAGGCTGCACCCTTCAGGATGTGACTCTTTCCAGGGTGAGAAGATACACAGTTTCCTTTCTATTTTGCTACTGGAATTCAACCACAAACTACAGCCTTCTTACTGCCTTTCCTTACTACTCCAGAGGGTTCTGCAGTCATTATAATGCCAACTATCCCTAGAACAGTGTTTGGTACTTTAGTAGGCACTGAATAAATATTTGTTGGATAAAGGAATAATGGCAACAATATAATTAAAACAGTGACAAAGGATTGTTTTCAACCCAAATCCAGAATTTGATTCACCATCCAAGGAGGAAAAAACTAACTACTTTTTCTGTCCTAGGATTCTTTCTTACAATTAATACTGATCTCGTGAAGGACAAATGAATGAGAAGCCTTAACAAGGGCAAGAGAAATACATAATACAAATCTCCTCTATGTATATACACAGCAGGAAAGGCCTGCCTTTTCCAGGTACCTCTGTAAAGCTCCCCAATTTTAAACTAAAAAAGGACTGCTTGAACCAACATCTTTTACCAGTCTATTTCTAGTTAATTAACCAAAAAATGGTTGGAGGTAGAGTGAAGGATTGTGATCTACAAAAATTTGATGCAGGCATGGAAATTTCTTTTTTTTTTTGGTATAAAATAGGTGGATTACAAAAGGTACAAAAGGTATTATTATAAAAACACTGTTGCTACACATAGCTTGTTGACTAATGTGAATAAAGTTTATTTCCCCAAATGAAATCTTGATCCTGTATCTTCTCATTCATCTGCCTAAAAGTGAACAAACAAGGGGAGAGGAGAAGGGTGCTGATCTGATTTTATAGAATGACCAAGAAAAGATAGAGGAAGTTTTCTTTCTTTCTTTTTTGTTTTAATTTTTATTTATTTATTTAGAGACAGAGTCTCACCATGCTGCTCAGGCTAGAGAGCCGTGGCATCAGCCTAGCTCACAGCAACCTCAATCTCCTGGGCTCAAGCAATCCTACTGCCTCAGCCTCCCGAGTAGCTGGGACTACAGGCATGCGCCACCATGCCTAGCTAGTTTTTTCTCTCTATATATTTTCAGTTGGCCAATTCATTTCTTTCTATTTTTAGTAGAGATGGGGTCTTGCTCTTGCTCAGGCTGGTCTCGAACTCCTGACTTTGAGCGATCCTCCTGCCTTAGCCTCCCAGGGTGCTAGGATTACAGGCGTGAGCCACCACACCTGGCCATCAAGGAAGTTTTCATTTCCTTTCTCCAAGCCCACAGTTCAGGACTGTTACCTGGTACACTGTCCAATTATAGTTCTTGTCAGAGGTCAGTAGAGTTGGTTAGCAATGACCGTGAACCCTGCAAACAGCTCTCACCACAATCACCTGTGGAACCTAAAAGAGCAGTGCTTGCCCCTCCCACAGGGGAGAGCCCAGCCATCCACATGTTGCAATAGCTCCACAGGTGATTTCAACTGTAGCCAGAGCTGAGCCTGTATTCCCCATCAGGTGTTCTTGTTTTCATACCTCAATAACTATCTTCAAGGCTCCATATATAGAGTACTATTAGCTTAAAATTGATATAACTCAAAGAAAATGAATAGAAGATTATAGAAAACTTACTTGGAAGCCTTCTGGGATGTTGCCTTTTTGAGCATTTGTTTGTGATTGGTTGGGGGCTTGGGGACCAGGGAGGAGGAAGAACTTGGAGGTGGCACCACTTTTTGTTGCAGAGTGGTTGGCTTCTGGCCACTAACTGTGGCACTTGAAATTCTGCAGCCTGCACCATTAACTGTCCATAAGTTGGAGTTAGGCAGTGTCTGGCTACCAAAGATTGCCTATAAGAAAAAGAAAAAAAAAAAAGATTGATGGAGATCCTCTTTACAACCCATTCGTTACATGTAACTGGTTTGTAATCCTGAAGGGGGGCAAAAAGAAAAGGGGAACCGTTAAATAAAGTCATTTTTTTTAAAGGAAAAACTTCTCTAGTGTCGCTAGTGCAGGTCTAGATTCAGAGAAGAGGAATCCCTTAAAGCAGAGAGTTGGGATGGTCTTGCTCAAAGTACACTGGGCTAGGAATCAGAGCATCTAGGTAATATGTGTTGGTGCTTGTGAATGAATCAGGAAAGCATTTGGTCTCTCTCAGTCTTAGTTTCCTTCATTGTTAAAGTCAACGAATTTTTAATGAATGTCTCTTACCGGGTATCAAGCACTAGAAATAGAGTACAGACTAAAACTAACTGGAAGCTTGACTCCATTCCAGCCCACTCTAAAACTGTGAACTTTAAAAGGTTTGCATGTAGGAGGATAGGGAAGAAGTCAGTGTGGCCAGGGCACTGTGAGCAAATAGAGTGGAGAAATGAGGCTGGAACAGGAACAAGGAACCAAACCTGGTTATTATGGGCTTGAGGGCTAGTTTAGAATTCTTTTGTTTTTTGTTTTTTGAGACAGAGTCTCAATCTGTCACCCAGGCTAGAGTGCTGTGGCATCAGCCTAGCTCACAGCAACCGCCAACTTCTGTGTTCAAGCAGTCCTCCTGCCTCAGCAGCCTGAGTGGATGAGACTATAGGTATGTGCCACCACGCCCAGCTAATTTTTTCTGTTTTTATAAGAGACAGTGTCTTGCTCTTGCTCAGGCTGGTCTCGAATTCCTGACCTCAAGTGATCCTCCCGCCTTGGCCTCCCAGACTGCTAGGATTACAGGCGTGAGCCATCATGCCCAGAACTAATTTAGAATTCTGATGTAGTAATACCTTATTGACTTAGAGCCACCACACAATGCTACTTTTTAAATTTTCTTTTTGTAGACACAGGGTCTTGCTATGTTGCCCAGCTGGTCTCAAACTCCTGGCCTCAAGTGATTCTCCCACCTTGGCCACCCAAAGTGCTAGGATTATAGGTGTGAGCCACTGCGCCCAGCATGAATTATATTTTTAATATTGTGAGTGAACTGCCATCAGTAAGAACATCTATTCAACAAATGTTGCCATGGTGAAAACTATGTTTCCTAATCCATCAAGTTTTTCTTTTTTTTTTCCAAATTTTTTCTGGGACATCTAAATACAAACAAAAACATGAATGAAAAGGGCAAGTTGAGAACAGTGAGCATAGTGAGCTCTCATTTCTGTAAGAAAGAAAAAAGAATACATACAAACATATATGTATACACCAACACACACACACACACACACACACACACACACATTAGTATCTGCACAGGACAATTCTGGAAAGATACACAAAAAACTGGTAGACTTCATGGAGAAGAACTGGCTAGCCAGGGGTCAAGGTAGGAGGGAAACTAACTTTTTACTACATATCATTTGTATCTTTTGAATTTTGTACTGTGTATATAACAATACACAGTACAAAAATAAATAAATCATTAAAAAGACAAAAGGAAGTCGAGTTCTAATGACATTTAAGCCAGTAACAAATTAACTCAGTACAAGTCAAAAGTGTCCAAATGAAGCCTAAATTTCAACAAGCTGGGTATAAGACTCCCTATTAGATTGGGTTAAAGAAGGAATTAACTGTTCAACACAGGCTACAAAAGCAGATTAGGTCATCAGTGAAAGGCAGAGAGATCCAGAGTAAATGGAAAAGAACATGGCTTGCAGTCAAATGTGCCTGGGCTCAAATGCTGCCCTGTCACAAAGTGGGTGATCCTTTCAAGTTGCTTTAACTTCTCTGAGCTTCAGCTTTCTCATAAGCAATTAAAATCACTTTGCTGGATTGTTGGAGAGTAAATGAAGATCCTGCAAGTACCCCTAGCCCAGACATTCAATAAGAGTTTCCTGAAATAAATTAAGAGACAAGTACACAGTAGACGCTCAACAAATGCTCCATTCCTTCACAAATCACTACCTCAGTCTATTAAGGAACCAAAGGATGGCATGACATGCAAGCCTACCTATCAGTAATCATTTGTGAATGGTAGTTGGTTACACATTTTTTCCAACATATTTTTCTAGTCTTATGATGATGCTCACTAGCTGTGAAAGCAAACTCTTAAAATGAAAACATATGTTTAGGTTCCCCAGATCATATTTATTCAATTCTTTCTGACAGAAATAATCTTTTACTCTTCTAAACACTTAGAAAAATTTAAATTTATTTTTATGTGTCTTATCACAGTTAGTATGTTCTACTTTGCATTATAGCCATTTACGTATGTACTTTTTCTCCCTTCAAGACAATACACATTGGAAATGGCTGGATTATGTATGTGATTAATTTTTGTTTCACCAACAGTGCCTCGTAGAAAGCCCAGGTGTTTAATAAATGAAAATAATGGGAAAAAACACCAAGTATTCATCAACTAAATTCCCATACAAGGAAATAGCCAAATATATATTTACATACAGATGTAATCTTGTAAAAGGACCATTCTCTGGACTTTGAACAGTGCCTAGTATGTTGTTTGTTACTAATTCACATTCAGCCACAAAATATGTTAGCCTTTCTGCAGATCCCAAACAAAAAGAAATTCACCTTCCTAGATGCAAATTTTGTGGTAGGACCTTAGACATTGATACTCTATATAAGATTATTGTTTACTTCAAACAGCAAAATAAAATAAGTTAGAACTTACTGGCTGGATACTATCACTTCTCCCTTTCTTCCTAATAATATTACCCTGATTTTGTTTGGGTAAAAATATATGCCCAGCTGAAAAATTACATTTCCAAATTTCTCTTGTACCCAAGGATAACCACGTGACATATATTCTGGCCAATGAGATATAAATAGAAGTTTCTGGGTGTAGTTTTGGGGAAATTCTTTAAAGGGGGCAGACTTGGTTGGTACATACCTTTTGCTGTTTACTTACTGTTCTTTCCTCTAAGAACATGGATCTCTAGCTAGAGATAGACAGGCATAGGATTATTAAGGTAAGCTAAGAATTGAAGAGGATAAAGACTGAATAAGTATGGGTTTCTGATGGCATCACAGAGTCTGGGAGAGTCTATTCTAGATTTTTAACCATATGGGGGAAAAGCAGCCTCTAACTTGTTTAAGCTGTGAACAGGGAGAGGGAGTTCTGTTACATGCAGCCAAATGGAATCTTAACTGGTAAAAGAAAGAATTCCCAATCTACCACAGATTCAAGTTTGCTTAAGCCTCAATACAACAGAAATGTACTGCATCTCAGAAAGCAGATACTCTTTCCAAATATAGCAAAAACATTCTAGGTTGTGACTTGTGGTTGGATGATGATACTCTAATATACTGAATAGATAATGAAATGATTACAATTGTACACCATTTGGAACTCCAAAGAGTCAGTAATGTAGACAGGTCCCCAGGTGTTTAATGAAAGCCAAGGCTAAGTGGGATAGGATTAAAGCAATTAAATCTGTTAAGAACACCAGGCAAACACTCAGGCAATGTTAAAAGCAGACATAAATGAATGTGTTTAAACCAGTGGCAGAAATCAGCCTCTTCCAGCCCCCCATAGCCTGTACTGGCCCTAATCCTACAACTCCACCCACTACAGATCACAGGAACTATTTTGTCCTGATATTCATTCATAAAAGGACAGAAGAATGATATGAAGTTCTTTCTCTATATTTCTAAGAAATGTGAGGTTTGGATTTACAATATTAACAACACAGGGATGGGGGCTGCACCACTGTCAATGTCCTAGGAAGGAGAGAGCTGTGTCAGCACTGGTCTCTACTCAAGACCTGGTCACCATGGACATGACTCTTGCTTCTTTGTTGGGTGTGGGAAACAGCCATATTACAGCAAAGAGACTCAGAAAACCACAGTTTGAGGGTTGGCTTGGCCCCAGGCAACAGACTGGAAAGGCCCTCCTTCCCCCACAACAGAAGGGTACACGTGGGTGGGAAGGAGGAATTTCTGATAGACAGAACACAGACTGCAACTTGGAAGGTTCTGAGGAAGCAAGATCTGGGCTCTCTTACTAGAAAGATAATACTGTTCAGAGATTACATTCTGGGAGGATTTTTTAAAATTCCTTCCAGAAAAACACTCCTTTTAGGCTTCACTCAGACTTCTTGGAGCTGGATGTCTCTTCATAGTGAAATAACTCTGTAAATTCATTTTTTGAGAATTCAGGGAGATGAAGTAGGAAATGATAATCTCTATTTGAGGAGATTCATGCCCCCCTTACTCTGATTTCTGAAGAGCAAACATTTCTATGTATCATTCTCCCCACATTAGATTTTGTCCTAACTTCGATAAAGTTCCCATTATATAGTATACAAAGCCACTTCTAGTATGTTTCTCTCTGGCAGCTAAAGTACTGAGATGGTGCATTTTCTTGAGCATGTAAGCCACTAATCTCTCACTTTCCTACAACCAGGCTGAGAACTGTTCAATGCAAAAATCACATTGCAAGTTTTGTACAACCCTAGGATGCTGTAAATACCTCAGGGCCAAGATGAGGACGAGGGTAGCTGTTTCTATTTTGGCAAAAGTAAGCTTCCAAAAGGCCTTTGTTTCATACTGTGTGGAGTTCTTGGCTGTCTTCCATTCACAATGTTTGTCAGCTGGGACAAGACTGGAGGCTGAGCAAGAGCAACAGAGTACAACTTCTGATATTGCTACAAAGCACAGAGCTATATTATGACTCCAACAGGGTTGGGGCAGAAACCCAGAAGTTGCTACTGTTCTTACAGAGAGACCAACCACACAAATACCTGAGACAGGACATGGAGTTGCCAAAGATACTAGAAATCCTCTGGTATACCCTTCTATTTCTAAAATCAATTAATAAGCTCCTTTTCCTTTAGCTAGTAGGAAACGAGGTTCTTACTACTTCAGATGACCTAGTCTAAAGGATGTAAATACAGGTACTTACCTGGGCAGAACA